CTTTTTCATTCGCTGCAACACCATCTTAATTGGAAAACGTTAGCAAATGTGGAAGATGTTAAAAAAGACATCAACATGTTTTTTCTTCCAAGCCAAGTGATTTCATTAATTAGGGCATTAAGAACCTAATTGTGAGATGGAAAAGCATCATCAATAAGAATGGAGACGATTTTATTTAATAAATGTTTTGTTTTGATATACAAGTTGTTCTGGTTTTTTCATCTAAAAAAATTGACATTGATTTCTTGATGACCTAATATATTTCATGTTGAATGTGCAATCTGTATTTTCTTTTTTAAATAAAAATTACTTTTATTATTTCAAGTGGGATGTGCTAGTGGTATTTTTGTTTTTGAATATAAATGATTTTTTTCTATATATATCACATGGGAAGCATAAGTTGTATTTTCATTTATAAATCAACATTACCTGTCTATTTCACATATTACGTGTAAGTTGTATTTTCATTTTTCAATCAGCATTACTTGTTTATTTCATGTGGGATGTTTTGGAACTGTGAGTAGTGTATCATCTTTATAAAATACCTCATTATTCAGTTTTTATTTTTCTCATGTTTGAGTCAAATTTACATTTTTGTGAGATAATACCGTTAATTTGTTAATCTTATCAAAGCTGTACTTATATTTGTAGTGGTGCTGTATTTCTCTTGCTTTTAGTTGATATGGGTGTATTTCATATAAATAAATAGCTCTAATATTATCAGTTACATTAATTGTCGATAAGAAATTAAATCAGCACTATAAAACAATACTAAGCTTCATATAAAACAAACATTACAACAGAACTAAAATTATACAATTACTTTCCATTATCAGTCCTAGTTGTCAACATAAGTGATAGTGGATAATGTCTGTGGTCATAAACCCAATACCATGATATTCCATCTATCATTTAGCTACTTATAAGCCAAGGATACTCTTGAGTAACTAATAACCTCTAAGTTCTCCATGGTAGTTTCCATAATTGAGAATTTAGTTTTTAAAATAATTTAATATTCATTATAAAATGTAATGAAAAATGTTTTTCATATGCCAGTCCTCAGAGCCATTAACTTTCAATTTATTCATGAATAATTGAACATTATCCATAAAAGAATTACTATTATTGCAAATTTAAAATTTTTTTTAAAAAACTGAGATATAATAATTCCTTTTAAAAGACTATTCGGGGTGGGTAGACCAAAATTGTTCCATTTATAATGTTAAAAGTAATTATTATACCTGAATTGAAAACATTAACAATTTGCAATAATGTTATAATGTTGAAGTGTTCCTAAATAAATTGAAAGTTAATAGTTATAAAGACTGTCATATTAATTTTGTTTATATTTTTTTGTAATGAATGAGGCACCAGCCTCTTTTTCCTTTTCCTTTTTGGGATTACTGATTAGAGGAGAGGCAACTGGCTGAGCACCCAATGCCATTTTTTCCTTTTCTTTTTACTTGTATGTACCATGGGTTGACAAACACTGTAATAATCATTATTTAATGGGGACTTTGACCATACAAACACATATGTATAAGTTAACTCTTTCCATTTAGGGTCAGTTAATGTAACTGACCTTGTACCAAAAAGTAACAATCAGAGGTTCCATATTATAACATTTAATGTTTTGTTGTGTATCTTCAAAAAATTTGGTAAGGTTTCAGTAACATTATAAGTCTTTTGTACAAGTAAAATCAATTTTTTAATTAAATATTTTTATCAAAGATTGTCTTTGAACATATGGCATTTAGTGTGTTGACTTCAAGGGCAATGTGATTTTCATGTTAAAATGAAAAATACTTTTCCTCATCTGAAAATTTTCAAATTTCATTTGCATAACCTGTAAAATCTCCTAAATAATTAAACGTTATTATTGTTTTTGTTTTTTTCCAGTAAAACTTTATATTTTATCTGTTATTTTCTATACCCTAACTCTATATGGACTCGGTTGACTTGACTTACCTTGAAAACATCCTTGAAAAAATCCAAATACATCTAAATTACCCTTTTTTCTTTCTAAAATTATTGCAGATTGTAACAAAAACTACAATTGTTTATCCCAAATAGCTTAAGTTTGTACCAGTCTACATCTGTTCATACTAAAGTTTGTACCAGTCTACATCTATTCATACTAAAGTTTGTACCAGTCTACATCTATTCATACTAAAGTTTGTACCAGTCTACATCTATTCATACTTAAGTTTAATTCATACACATTGATAATAAAGTACTTTAATTAAATTTTGAATGTACTCTGTAAAAGGGCCATATGGGCCATCCCATCCACTAAACTATAAAATGAAAATAAAACACTCAATGGCGATCTTTATTGTGCAAATATTTTTCATGCCTTCTCTTGAACTCCCTTAGGTTTGCTGCATCTGAAGGCAACCCATTCCAAAGGCCAACCACCCTGTTAGAAAAATAAAGTTGTCTCAGCTGAAGATGACTCTTATCTTGGTAAAAAAATTGTGTCCTGTATTCCTACAATTCTCAAAAAAAAAAGGTAGATGCATCAACATTATCAATTCCCTTAAGAATCCTAAACTCCTGAATCAGATTCCCTCAACTCTTCTTTTTTTCAAGAGAAAACAATTTTAGAGATCTTAACCTTTCCATCCCAGATTTCATTCTAGTAGCCTTCCTTTGAACCCTTTCTGAAAATTCAAGGTCCTTCCTAAGGTAGAGAACCCAAGACAGAACAGAATACTACAAATGTGACCTAACCAATTACATATACAATGAAATTATAACCTCCTAGACTTATATTCAACAATTCTGTAGACACAACCTAAAATTCTATATGTCGTGCTACTAGCAACAGAACATTGCTTGGAAGGTTTACGAGACTGATGAACCATAACACCAAGATTATTTTCTTTCATAACACTTTTAAGGTTATTCCCATCAAAAATCATACTCATAATTCAAGTTATGATATTCCACATGCATTATCTTGCATTTATTATAATGAAAAGCCACCTTCTATTTATTCACCCAGCTCATCAAGTAATCCAAATTCTTTTATTAAGCAGCAGCATCCTCCTAAGCAACATCCAAAACCTTAATATCATCAGTAAACTTAAATACTTTATGGACCATTCCTTCATCTATGTCATGAGTTCAGAGTTGAAAAAGCTGAATAATGCAATGTTATTGAAGGTTACTATATTAATGGAACAGAAAACTATTTGACTACTGTATATACAATTTTAGGCAATTAGTTACCAAACACAGCAGAACCATCACTGTTGAATACTATGCTTAATGTATGTGGACAAATCAGATGCTCAAAATAAGAGTTAAACTACGACAAACTAATATTTAACCATACATACATAATGCAGTATGTAATTAATGAGTATGTTTTAATCAGGAAAAAATTCTTCCCTTTATAAATACAACATAAATTCATGCTCTACTGTGAGAGTTCTAAACTACTTGTTAAAAAGAACTACCAACTGTAACCTTAAAAGTGATCTAATAAATATATGACTTCCACACTAAGAGAGTTTTCTATAACAAATAGCAACAAAGAATTTATGTACCAAGAATTCCTTTTTTGCTGAATCAATGTTATTCACACTTGTGATGGCTTTGTTAAGATACTCATCTTCACTTTGAATATCCAACACACTTGCTGTTGAAAGTTGCTGAAGGGCACTAGGTGGTGGCTGAACACCAGACTTCTGACAGCAGGCTACTGGGTCACTCACCCATGCTTCAAGTAGTGTCTCTCTTGACCATTCTAAAATTTTTTACAAAAGCATCAATTTTTTATTATCAATCTTTTCATAACAAATTTGTATTTTTATCAACTGAGTATTTCATTTTGTAATTTTTTGCAAAGCTTCATAAAAGCTACGTGTGCATAGCTGTTGCTAATTTAGAACTTACAACACCCACTGCCAACTCTTGTCTAGTAAGATTTGACCATCCCCCTTACAGTGCATCTACAACCACAAAGAATGGAACACATTTTCATTAAAACAGTTCATTAACCATGAATCCTTGTACTAATTATAACAAGGCCAAGCCTAACCCTTAACTGAATACAAAGAGCTTAAAAATTCAGAATCCCTAAACTTTCTTTAATTCTTAGTTTTCTTTTGTAACAGCACATTTATTTGTATAGTTATAAAAGATTTAAAATTAATTCTATGCACACTATGTGATGAATAATTTTAAGAAATTATAAGCTAAGCCAGTTATGATCATGGATTAAAAATCAAACATTATTAGCATTAAGTGCTACATGGCAACTTGGTATGATTTTTAATTTCTGACCATGATTACAATTCATGGATTAAACAATGACAATTGCATGGTTTTGTTGAATTTCCTTGCCACCACTTTGTCTTCTTGCTAGCAGTACTACATTGAATTGATATAAGAACTGATTTCCTTTGTTGTTGATAATTTAGAGAAGCATGTTCTGGTCCTCTATGTTCACAGGCAATGGAGAAAAACACAACATTACTCACTGATGCTTGCTCAGTTAACAACAGTATCTTGGAAGTTTGGAGGTTTCCTTGTCTACATAGCCTCTAGTAGGTTTAATACAATTCATGGAATTCCCTATCTACATGAAAAAGCTTATTTACCATGGCAACAATAGGGTAGACTAAACAGGATGGTCTGCTGGTAAAAAAAAAAGCAGGATAGCCAGTGGTGAAGAATAACAGAATTAATAACAAAAGTAAAAATTTCAAATACAGATCAGCTCAACCTCTGGTAGCCAAGAAGTTTGCTTAGTAATTCTGGGTTAGGTATTACAGTCAATAATGTTAAGATCCAACTTTTTCCAAGAAGTCTTCAACCAAAGCTAAGATGTAGAACACAATCCCATAAATACTTCCTCTTAAAATAAAATTCATGTATAACAGCTACCTTGTTCAGAAGTAATACTTAAATAAAATATTCAGTAACATACAAATTTAGGGAATAGCCAAATCCATAAATAAATTTCATTTCTAAATCAAAGTATTTGAAAACTGTAGAAGCTTTCTGTTTTATGAAGTAATAAATAATTGTGATTTCACCTTATAAAGTAACATGACCTATGAATATTACAGCTATTACAACTGCAAAATATTATTTTATCAATACATGTTAAACATTGTTTGTCCAACATCTCAGTGAAGACCATACTAAAGGTAGACCAAAGCAAAAGCTTTGGCTTCCATAGTGAAGTAAATAACACTGACCAACACATACTGATTATTTCTATCAGTTTTTTGCAAATAATCAGCTCTATCAAAGGCAATTATCTGTAAAGAATAAGTTAGAACTCTATAACTTCACTGCTGTGGCCAGTTTTATGCTGGACTGTGCACATGTGCAGTGCTTACGCCCATCTCTCAACATGTTTATGTTAATGTGGTCTGAGAATCGACTACTGTACATTTATAATGACATGTAACACTCCAATAGTACCCTCCAAGTCCAAACTATTTTCTGCTTTAGAGCTCTATGGACTACTGCATCACAAGTTGGACACCACATTCCTGAGGTTTCTTAAGTAAACATGAAATACAACTGGGTGATTAAATTGAATATTTATGAGCAAAAATTACATCAATTAGTGGCATGTAAAATAATAAATCAACGAAAATCATCATTAAATTAATTAGTCACAAAAATAATCAACTAATCGAAAATAAATTTCCGATAGATACTTATCTCCTCCCAACTTCTGGTGCTTCTTTTCTGCCTAATGTAGAGTAATGAGGGAGCCAGCTGTGACAGGAGAGTTTGTCATATTCTTATTGGTGGAGGGTTGTCACATGCTCACCTGCATGCTACAATGCAGCTGAACCACACAGAAACATGGGGTATGTGGGAGTTTCAAGGATAGTAGCAAGCAGCAAAACATTTGTACATACAGAGAGCAGTACTGAGCAAAAAAAAAGCTATTATGTGAGAGGAGGTAAGTATCTATTAGAAATATATTTTCAGTTATCTTATAGTTTCATATTTCATTTATATAGCCTCTAGAATTTCCATAAATTAATATTTATCTTATTTTCTGCACCATAACACTGACTGTAGCAAAATCATCAGTGAAGAAAGTTGAAAAACATGAAATGAAATCAAAAATAAATTTTGTTTTGTAGAATGAGTGCAGATGATAACAGACAATGTCAATTACTTATCTTAAACAGCTCATATGGATTATAATTGTTTATGGATAACATTTTAATGTCTAATTTATTTCTTGTTTTCTAAAATGTGTATTTGAAAACTACATGAATAACTTGGGATAACTAACATATGAAGAAAAATTGGCTTACTAAACCACATGTTTGAGTGCAAAAAACCTCTAACTTAATATAAATGCTAAATTTCTTGGGATTTGTGTAAATTTTTTTATCTATTGTTAGATATTTTTTAACAAAAGTAACTCAGATATAAAAATTAGAAACTTATTATGTTCAGTAAAAAACTTTAATGAAAAAAATCAAATCAAATTTCTCCAAGTAACACATTTGGGCTGCATCACATTACATTTGTTTACCCACACTTGCCCTAAGTTCTCACCAGGTGATTTATTGCTTTGTTACACTAGTTGGCAATATTCAAAGAGCAATAAAGTAATAACATTAAAATAAAAGAGATGTGAAACTGTTAGGAGCCTGAGTTTTCTAACTAACCTATAAAAAAGTTGAAAAATCCCATTAGTTCCTGGATCTTACTAATTAACCTGAAGCTCTTATATGGAAAGATAAAAAATTCTATAAATGAGAAGTTAGAACACTGCTGCACCATGTGGCTCAGAGGTGGAGGCTGAGAATTCATTTAAATATTTACTTTTGAATATAAAACTTTGAATTATAAACTACATTTTCATGCTTAATAATAAAGCAGTTTAATAAAAGTTTGAATATAACTCTGTAAAAAAGGTCTTCCCACATCTATAGGGTTAATCGATTAGCATCACAGCTCATGAAAATAATCACTTCATGGAAATAAGGGTTTCTAATTATTACCATTTTTGATTATTCAAGCTATCCTAATAATCGATATATTACCAATATGTTTGATTGTTCTTATGCATATAAATCAACCATAATGAGTTATCTATCCTCTACTCATCACAAGTATTGAAATCCAATTTTTTAGCATTATAATTTGTTGTTCTTATTAAAGTTATTCTTTATCTCAGTTATGTTCAGCTTTGGGTGAGAATAGCCTCATAATTCAAGGGTCTTGGAAGAATTCCCATTGCCATCAAATTTGCTTGCCCTTGCAGTCACAGGGAACTTATATTTGTTTCTTTGTTATTGTCAGCAAAAATTTCACTTAGAAAAAAGTGCAATTATATGCTCTTTACAGATAAACTCACAATCACACAGTCTAGATCTAACTAACTAACTATCTATCTTTGTCTTACTCATTCTGAACTACATTTTGTACGTATATTTTTAGACTGACAGAGGCCTAGAACGTTCTACACACAAAGCGATAAAATGATGTAATAATACTAAACTGAAACAATAAGAAAAACTTAGAAGTTTCTAGTAACAAGATGCAATGATACAACAAGTGCCAAATCACAATAACTGAACTATGCAACATAAGATTCATACAGAGTTATATAAATAAATCTGTGACAAACTATCACTTCTAAAAATAACTAACTTTAACTCTCATGCTATACTAAGACTAGCTAAATCACATGCATTAAACTTAAAACAGCTGTGTATATCTAACAATAAGCCCCTCTTCAAGAAAGATTTTTATAATATTTTTTATTATTATACACAAACTGTTTTCAGTTCATGCATAAAGTCTACTTATATAGCTTGCACCAACATTTGCAGTCCCCTTGATGGCTTCAATGCAGTCTGGTAGTTCTGGAGGTATAATGCCCACCTCATGATCCTTACACACCTCTGGATGTATTCAATGGGCTGATGATCCATCTGGACGATGAACTCCTTCCTATAGAGGCAGTTCTGGAATTTCTGGATGGCAAATATGATGGCCAGACACTCATGTTAAATCTCAGAGAAGTTCTTCTCAATAATCAACAGCTTTTCACTGACATACATCACAGAAAACAGCCTGTCTTCATGCTCTTGCAAAAGTACTGCTCCAATTCCAATGTCTGATTGCATCAGCCTAAGTGATGAACAGTTTGTTGAAGTTTGGCATTCTAAGGCTTGGTGAACTTCCTAACATGTTCTTCAATTTCTGGAATGCTATCTGCTGTGGCTGTTTCCACTTTACCTTGTTGGGTTGACCTTTCTTGGTCAGGTCTGTCAGTGGTGCAGCAAATTCAGTGTAGTTTGGTTATGAACTTCCTATAGTATCCCACTGACCCTGGTCATTGGAACTAGTACATCTTACATGTAGGTTAGCTTCTCCTCTTCCATGGCTATCTGTCAGTTGCTGACCTTGTGGCCAAAAAAGTTCAGCACAGGATAATCTATGTAGCACTTAGATGGTCTGATGATCAGACCTGTGGCTCTCACTCGCCTGAACAGCTCTCTGACTTTCTGCATGTGGTCTTCTCATCTAGCTGTGTGGGGCAGAATGTCGTCAACATAATGCTCAATGTTGGTGGTTTTATGCAACATCTTCGTCATTTAGAAAATAAAATAGGTCAAAACTTTAAAATTACAGACTTAATCCTATAGTTCCCTGTTATTTGAAATGCTTACAAGTTGGATTGTTCTATACTTTTATAAAGGAGAAACATTTGAGAAACTTTAAATGATGTTCCACAAATATGAATTCACAAAT